GCCATATTTATACCAATACTGTAGTTCATCATAGTGAACGCCATATTTATACCAATACTGTAGTTCATCATAGTGAACACCATATTTATACCTATATTGTAGTTCATCACAGTGAACACTATATTTATACCAATACTGTAGTTCATCATAGTGAACACCATATTTACACCAATACTGTAGTTCATCATAGTGAACACCATATTTATACCGATACTGTAGTTGATCATAGTGAACACCATATTTATACCAATACTGTAGTTCATCATAGTGAACACTATATTTATACCAATACTGTAGTTCATCATAGTGAACACCATATTTATACCAATACTGTAGTTCATCATAGTGAACACCATATTTATATCAATACCGTAGTTCATCATAGTGAACACCATATTTATACCAATACTGTAGTTCATCATAGTCCATACCAGAATTGTACCAATACTGTAGTTCATCACAGTGAACACTATATTTATACCAATACTGTAGTTCATCATAGTGGACACTATATTTATACCAATACTGTAGTTCATCATAGTGGACACTATATTTATACCAATACTGTGGTTCATCATAGTCCATACCAGAATTGTACCAATACTGCAATTAATGTAAAGACAATGACATTTTTCGGCTGTTGTCATTAGTTGAGAACCATAATTGCGACAGATAGTTTTGATGTTAACCAGTGTTGAACGGTTATTATTATAAAATAAAAGATCGTGTATCTGAAGTTGACATTCGTTTAATCAAAACCTTCTTCCTTTACGCCACTTCCTCGTGCAACAGTTTCTTCCGCTTAATGTGTTGACCGTTAGACAAGTATTGTTCTAGCCAAGTACATGCTGTAATCACCAAGACGTAGATTATTACAACTTGTTAGTTGAAGCAGGAAACTGTTATTCTATAATAACACTTTCTAATTTTGAAACATAACTAATACAATAAAGTTTCCTTTGAGAAAAAAGAAAATGGCCCTCGTAATGTGATAAAAATTTAGAGTAGCCCAATCTCTGCTGTTGAGAAAGTACTTTAGGCTTGTGTAAGATAATATAAATACGATATTGACTAAGTATTATTCACAGAAAAGATGCTTGTATTATTATGTTCCTGTAGTGAAGATGCGATGTGAGTCGACCACAATGACCGCTGTCCTCAAAGTTGCCACTCCTTTCCGCGGGAAAATTTATTCGGTTGGTCATCCTCGTGAATGTTTCGCTGCAACCGCCACGGACAGTGGCGAGATTACATTGACCATTCCTCTGCACGGGACGAAGTGTGGGACGAAAAATCTGGTAATTTGGTCGTGTTTCGTAATTCCTTTAGAAATTTTGGGAGAATTATTTACTGAAATGTGAAAAACAGTTGGACGTGAATGGAATTAATTCAGATTAACTTTTCATCACTCTTCTTCTTCTCAGCTGTTACGAAATTAACTTCTCTGATTGTTGTTTAAACTTTAAAAGAAATACCGAATTATCTACGAACTATGTTTTACCGATCATATTAGAAAACGATTTGCCCAACCTGGACATCACAGGCAGTTGTCTTGACATTTACTATAATATTGGACATTACAGACAGTTGTCTCAACATTTACCATAACTTTGGACATCACAGGCAGTTGTCTCGATATTTACTATAATATTGGACATTACAGGCAGTTGTCTCGACATTTACCATAACACTGGACATCGCAGGCATCTGTCTCAACATTTACCATAACACTGGACATCACAGGCAGTTGTCTGGACATTTACTATAACATTGGACATCACAGGCATCTGTCTCAACATTTACCATAACATTGGACATCACAGGCAGTTGTCTCGACATTTACTATAATATTGGACATTACAGACAGTTGTCTTAACCTTTACTTTAACATTGGACATCACAGGCATCTGTCTCAACATTTACCATAACTTTGGAGATCACAGGCAGTTGTCTGGACATTTACTATAACATTGGACATTACAGACAGTTGTCTTGACATTTACTATAATATTGGACATCACAGGCAGTTGTCTTGACATTTACTATAACATTGGACATTACAGACAGTAGTCTGAACCTTTACTTTAACATTGGACATCACAGACAGTTGTCTTGACATTTACCATAACATTGGACATCACAGTCATCTGTCTCAACATTTACCATAACATTGGACATCACAGACAGTTGTCTAAACATTTACCATAACGTTAGACATCACAAATCGTTTCCTCAACATACACTGTTAATATTTGTTTGTTTTTATGCACAAAGCTTTAAGGAAGCTGATATTATTTAACTGAAATTGATAATTACTTGAACACAAATTATTAATTGTTATGGTAAATGTCGAGACAACTGTCTGTAATGTCCAATGTTATGGTAAATGTTGAGACAACTGTCTGTAATGTCCAATGTTATAGTAAATGTTGAGACAACTGCCTGTGATGTCCAATGTTATATTCAATGCTGAGACAACTGTCTGTGATGTCCAGTGTTATGGTAAATGTCGAGACAGATGCCTGTGATGTCCAATGTTATATTCAATGCTGAGACAACTGTCTGTGATGTCCAGTGTTATGGTAAATGTCGAGACAACTGCCTGTGATGTCCAAAGTTATGGTAAATGTTGAGACAGATGCCTGTGATGTCCAAAGTTATATTCAATGCTGAGACAACTGTCTGAGATGTCCAAAGTTTTGGTATAAAGTTGGGGTATTTAGCTACAGTTCAAGATAACGTCGTTAATACAGTAACGGCTTATTGTAACAAAGAACATTTTTGGTTCTACGATGATTTGTCTACTTACAAGAAAGTTTTTTTTTGTTCCAGGGTAATGGAACTTTCACCAATAGCGTAGTAATACAACACCACCCTTACATACTGCGAAACAGTGACCGCCGAATAGATGTAGCATGCGACTATGAAGAAATCAGGACCCGAGTGAGAGGAGGAAAGGAGGTTACCGAGGGGTTAGTAATATCGATGCACTTTTTGTATTATTTGTTAAGAAGTAATTGAAGTCAAAGTGTACAGATAATAGACAGATGTGGTATCAAAAACATAAATTAATAGTAGGTGCTGCTTATCGTTGTTGGACAACACCTTCATTTTGAATAAACTGGTTACTTTCGTTGTTTCGCTTTGCCACTTGAAAACTGGCTTACTCAGATGTAACGATGTCTCTGATTGGTGAGACAAACTTCATCACCTTGTGTTCCTGTACAGTATCATTTTGGGACATACTTTTTGTTTATGCTATGAGCATTAGATTGGGACATACTGCCAGGGACCGATTAAAATTAATCCTCTCCTCCTTAGGAAGAAATGGTCCATAATACTCTCAGTAATTGTCCATGATTTTGATATTTTTTGAGTATGCGACACCTAACGTCATAAACTTGCATTCAACAAAACATGTCTTAATTTTTCTTATAAAGCGACTTCACTGCCAGTCTAACATTTGACAGTTTCTGGATCACTGAGATTTATTTGTGAAACTTTTGCTCATAGGCGTGAAACTGGAAGGAACTAATAAGACACTGTTATGCAGGTAAAACTCGGTAATTCTTAATCAAAGGAGGATAAAATGAAACGACTAAATTCGGAAACGCAAAGGAAGAAAGAAGGATTGAATTCGGTAATATTAATCCAAAGGAAGAAATAACAGCAGAACTGTGTAAATATAAATCGAAGAATAAAAAAATGAAATGAAAGTACTCGTTAACCCTAATCAAAGGAAGAAATAATAGCAGAAATCTGTAAGCCTAATTCAAAGAAGAAATTAATGAAATGACAGAACTAGGTAACCCTAAATCAAAGAAAGAAATGATGATTACCTTACAAAGACACTAAATTTACAAAATGCAGTTTAGTTTAGCTAGTTTTGAGGAGTTATTCTAAGAGAAGAAATATAACAACGAAACAGTGTAAATTATTTTTAAAATTTCGTGATAAGAATCTGTGCGAACAGTGTACTACTAAGCGCCTTGAATAAAAACTAATGAACTATGTTTCGATTTCAGGGAGTTTCAAAGTCTAACTCAAGTGGTTACAGGTTTAGTACCAACACCTGGAGTTCGGCTTCGTGTTGTAAACTCTACAGGTACTGAAATCAGAGGGGCTGAGCTTGGAGAACCCCTGTATTTGAGAGTGGAAATGCTCGACAACAGTAAGCTTTAGTTTAAAGTAGTTAAACTACCTTACGTCATATACCGTAATTTAGTGCTTTTCAAACCTGACTACTGGGTGTGTCTGATTAGGCTGGGCTCGTTGGACGTGACTTTCAGTTCTTTAAACTCAGTTATATTAGTGCATAGTAAAAAATATTACACAAGAGAGAGTATATTGTGTATTAAAAATATTACACAAGAGAGAGTATATTGTGTAGTAAAATATTACATAAGAGAGGGTATATTGTGTATTAAAATATTACATAAGAGAGGGTATATTGTGTATTAAAATATTACAGAAGAGGATGTATATTGT